GCGTGCCTGGGGTGGCAAGCCGCGGGGGGTGCCCTGCCGGGCCCTCCAAGGGCAGCAGTCAGGCAGCCTTCGGCGGCATGCCTGCAGGAGGTCCGCCAGTCCCGTGGATTCGGCGGCAATTCGGCAGCGGGTACACCGAATCCGTAGGACCGGGGACCTCCCGCAGGCGCACCGCCGAAGGCAGCCTGCCTGCCGTGCTTGGGATGGCAAAAAAGCTAGAGCCGCCCCTGGAGCTAGAAACAAGGAATAAACTCAGCCCCCCAAATAGCTGTAGACATTGGCTGGCAGGGACCCCAGATCATCTGGAAAGAGAGATAAACACGCCGAGCCGCATGTCCCAACTGGGCTGGAGATGAGCCAGCCATGGGACAGTGGCACCTGGGAAAGGAGGCGGGCTGAAGGCTGGGCAGGGGCAGGGGCAGAGCACATGGCATGGTGTGGCGTGATTTGCCCTGGTGCGGAACGGCTGCTTCTGCCACTCGGGGGCCTGGAGCTCACAGAGGTTCCTCAGCTTATAGCACAAAAGCAGGAGCCGTTCTCGGCCTGGGACTACACTGTCCATCCTCCTTCCCCCACTCTACCTCGCCTTCCCCTGCCCCACCCCTCTGTCCTCCCCAGCCCAGCCCCAGCCTGGGGGCCAGATGGAATCACCCTCCTTGCCGTGCTGAAGGCAATAGGTCAGTCCCCCCCTCGCCCCCCTTTCTCGGGGGCCGTGGGCTCTTCCTTGGCCGGCCGGCCCCGGCCCCCAGACGCCAGCTGGCTCTAGCTGGAGCCCTCTCCCTCCTGGGCCAGCCCCCGGCAGGTGCTCAGCCGATGCGGGAGGGAGGAGCCGTGTCTCCAGTGTCCTGCTCCCTGGAGGGGTCGAATTCCTCGCGCGACTCCCTGACCTGCTCGTAATCCCCACGGCTCGGCCAATAAAGCTTTTGCTAAATTAGGTAAAATGGCCCTGCCACCAATCAGGGGGCGAGGGCTAACGGGAGGCAGCTGATAGGCTGTTGCGAGAGCGGCACCTGGTGACACCCAATGGCGTGGTGCTTGGCTGCAGCGTGCTGGTCGAGGACAGTACAAATAGGGGGGCCAGGGGCTGAGGGGAAGCTCCTGGGGTCTGTGTGTTGCAGGTCACGGTGACTCTGGTCTGTGGGCACTGCGGGGTGACCAGCCAACATGGTAAGAGCCTGTGCGAGAACGGCCTGGCAGCAGATGGAGCGGCCTGGGGCCAGGGCCGGCCGGAGGCCCCCGCTACAGCAGTGGCCAAGGGCTTGTGCTTGCAGAGTCTGACGTCGGGGAGCAGGAGCTGGCTGGACTGGGGGGCACGTGTGCGTGGTGCAGGCGCGTTCCCCCGGTGGGAGATGACCAGCTCAGGCCCATTGGAGAGGCTGGTACAGGAGCCCTGGGACGGTCAGGTCCTGCAGGGCAGAGGTTATGCTTCAGGAGGAGCCACTGCCCATGGGAACGTGCACGCGGGCGACAGCGCCGAGCGCAGGGCGGCTCCTGATCAGAGCGTTAGCGGGGTGAAGTCGGTTGGGCTGGTTGTGTGAGATGAAGGAGGATCGGGGCTGCAGGGCCAAGGTCCCTGCGAGGGGTGTGGTGGGGGGGTGTTGGGGCATTTAGGAAAACAAGATGATGATGTTGCGATTTGCAGATTTGTCCCATACTGTACCCCCCACCCCCAGCCCCCGAATGGCGCCGACCCAGGGGTGTAGAACAGGGCACAGGTACTAAGGGGCCAGGAGGGCTGGGTGAGGAATGGGCAGGGGCTGCTCCCATCTCACTCAGCTGGGAGAGGAAGCCCTGAGGCAGCCCCTGTCCTGCACAGGGACCCTGGTGTCCTGGCATCCGCTGGGGTGGGGCAGTGCTGCACTGGGGGGCAGGAGGCTGCGTCTCGACTCCAAGGAAGCGGAGCTCTGGCTGGGATTCAGGAGCAGCATTGAGCACAGGCTGGCCAGTAAGCTGAGCTCTGGGTCATAAGACACCCGTCTGCAGGCCCGCAAGCTCCCGCCAGCTGCGTGGGCCTGGCCCTCAAGGAGTAACTCAATCCGATTCCAACAGGTGCGTGGGCCTGGCGTCCCGCTGCTCCCCTACAAGGGAGCCGAGTCTCTGCTAAGAATAGCCGCGCACGTCCGGGGCTGGGAACGCCCAGCACGCAGGTCCTGCTGCAGGTGTCGATGGAGCAGTCTGGCCTGGGCTAGTGACCGGGCACCCAGCAGAGCTGGGAGCCGGCCGCTCAGGCTAACGCCCAGCCTCAAGGCTGCGCCCCGCAATCCCAATGACCCAGAGAGGGAGAGGCGTCCGGGGGGGGATGACCATGTGCACCAGCAGGGCAGAGGATTGTGGGAAGTGGGGGAGCTGAGTCTGAGGGCAGGTCATGGCAGGGAGGGACCCGGGTTCCAGCAGCAGCAACTGGCCATGAGTGGTCTGTTCACACAGGCGCCTCCCCGTGGCCTGCAGGATCTCGGAGCCAGCCACAGAGCTCACAAGACGCTTGGCAGGTCTGGCTGGGGACCTCCCAGGACGGTGCACAGCCGACAGTGCTTGTGAAGTGCTGATAATCTGTGTAAATCACATATGTAACTCGCCCACGCCTGCCTTTCCCTGCACGCCCTGCACCCAGGGCCATGGTGGGCAGTGGCCAGGGGCCATGGTGGGCAGTGGCCCAGGGGGCAGGGCTCTGGGACGTGCGACTGAGCCCAGAATTGCATGGCTCTGAGCTCAGGTGCTGGGCTGTGCTGGGGGTGGGGTGGCAGTGCTCAGCCTTGGGGTCTGGGTGGCTCAGGGACCCGCCTCACCTACACCCTGCTGCAGAGAGGGGACAGAGCTGGCCGCTCCCCGCCTGCTGCGAGAAGAGACGGCAGGGCCCGGGCTGGAGCTCTGGGTGAGCAGCTGTTTTGTTTGCCTTGCAGACGACGGACCAGCAGGCGGAAGCGCGGTCCTTCCTCAGCGAGGAAATGATTGCGGGTGAGTGTAACCGAGCCCCTCTGGGCACAGGGCAGGAGGGGCTGTCAGAGCTCCCCGCAGAGAGGGGAAAGGACAGGAGCTGCTGGCCCAAGGTGACTCTGAAGGGGGACCTGCCCCCAGGACTCCCCCAGGACCTGCTCTCTCCTGGGAAGGGAAGAGGGCGATAGACCCGACCAGCACATCCTACTCCCAAGCCTGGGAGGGCACTGGGCTGTCTGCACGGCTGTGCCCACCCCTCGGTACCTGGGGGATGCCGGGGCTCAGAGCCAAGCAGCGCTGGCCATGCCGATGGGCGCTGGGCAGAGCTGAGGAGCGTTCTCAGCTCCCTGCTAACTCGGCCCTGTCCTGCAGAGTTCAAGGCCGCCTTCGACATGTTCGACGCGGACGGCGGCGGGGACATCAGCACCAAGGAGCTGGGCACCGTCATGCGCATGCTGGGGCAGACTCCCACCAAGGAGGAGCTGGACGCCATCATCGAGGAGGTGGATGAAGATGGTGAGCAGCGTCTTCCTCTTGGAACAATCCCTGGGGAGGGGGCAGGGGCTGGCGGTTCCTGACCTCGGGGCGGCTTCTTCCCGCAGGCAGCGGCACCATCGACTTCGAAGAGTTCCTGGTCATGATGGTGCGGCAGATGAAGGAGGATGCCAAGGGCAAGTCGGAGGAGGAGCTGGCAGAGTGCTTCCGCATCTTCGACAAGTGAGTCAGCGTGGCATGGGCTCAGCTCCGCCGGCCTGGCTCGGGGGAGCCCAGCTCAGCGTGGGGGGTTCTGAGTCCCGCTGCCCCCCCGGGCTGCAGGAAGGTCCTTGGCCCAGTGGCCATTGACCAGGCCGCCTCACCCGTGGCCACAGACCTCTGTCCCCAGAGTAACGTTGCTGCCTCCCTCTCAGCTCAGGGGACGCCCGTCTCTCCCCAAGTTCCCTCTGAGCCTGAGTCATCCAGGCTCCTGGGTTGGCTCCCGAACAGCTGCACCAACTGGGTCGGCTGCTAGAGCAGGGGCCAGGCTGGGGGCCCAGAGTCCCCTGCTGCCCCTGCTCTCCGCCCGCCCGGCCAGCCCCACTCAGAGCCGCATGCCCTGTCCCCACAGGAACGCGGATGGGTACATCGACGCCGAGGAGCTGACCGAGATTTTCCGAGCCTCTGGGGAGAGCGTGACTGAGGAGGAGATCGAGGAGCTCATGAAAGACGGGGACAAAAACAATGACGGACGCATCGATTTTGATGGTGAGGCCCAGGGCTCCCTCACCCAGGCTTTGTGGGGCTGCCCAGGGGAGCTCTCACTCCCCCACCCTTAGCCGGCCTCCTCCCCTCCCCACTCCACATTGAGCCCAGCAGGATCTGTGCTCAGAGCTCTCCTAAGCCCCAAGAGCTCCACCTTCCCAACCTCTCCACTGAGCTGAGGGATGCCTGGTACAGAGTGCCGGGGCCAGGGAACCCTGATAGCCCAGCGCCTGGGGGTGTCTGTGAGAGTTGTGCTGCATGACGGGTGTGGTGCACCCTCCCCATCCCCATCCCCATTCCCAACCCCGCCCCTGAGCTCCCAGCCCCCCAGCACTGACCAGGTGTCTGGCTGCTTGTGCCTGCAGAGTTCCTGAAGATGATGGAAGGTGTGCAGTAAAGGACCGACATTCCTGCGAGCCAGGCCCTGCTTCCAGCCCTGCTCCATCTCCGCACAGCAAAGCCAAGCGCACTCTGGGAGCAGCCTCCAGCCAGAGGGCCTGGCCTCCCCTGCCCCGTGAAGTGCTCGCTTTGTACAGTTCCACTGCTCCCTTGTTGCCGCGCCCCGGGGCTGGTGGGCTGTGGACTCACCTCTCACACGGCTGGAAAGAGCCTTTCCCCCGTCTGTAAACGCTGTGTATAGTATTGAAGCCTCATTAAAAGGGTCAAAAGTTTGAACCTGACGGAGCCTGGATTCTAGCTGGCTCTGATATGGGGAGTGGGGCGGGTGGGGGACCCTCTGGCCAGAGACCCTAGCACAGGCAACCAGGGAGGAGTCTGCAGGAAGCGGGTGGGGGGATGTGAGGTCCTCCCAGGGGCATGACACTGAAGGAGGTGCCCGGGCCTCGGCGCATGTCACTGGAGTTGGGGCAGGGAAGGGGGGGAGTGTTGCCAGGGCCTGGGGTGGGTATGACCACATGTGGCCGGTCCAGCCCTGCTCACAGCACTTGGTAACTGCTCAGAGCAGCCCCTGGTGCCCCACTCAGCAAGCAGGGCCATCTACGGCTGAGCAGCTCCTGCCCCCATGCTCACAGCCTGGGATAGTGCCAGGCAGGCACGGGTCTCAGCTGGGCTGATGCCGACTGGGTGGGGCCAGGGGGCTGCACTCTGGGCTCTGGGCTGCCTTTCCCACATGGCCTCTGGGGACCAGGCCAGCAGTGAGCTCAGATTTTCCGCAGGGGAGGAGCTCGCTGGCTGGCTGGCAGCTCTCTGCACCTCACAGGGGCTGTGGTGCAGGAACCAAGCAGCAACCCAGGCCCTCCCTTGTGGGGTTGCAGGGTCAGCTGGAGGGGCAGGGCCTGGGACCGGGACCAGGGCACCACTGAGGAATCCCTTTACCTCAGGGCAGGGCTGGCCCACAGGCCACAGGGGCTGGGAATATGGGGGTGCTCTTATTCTGGGGAGGCTGAGTCACACTGAGCCCCTCCAAGCCAGGGACCTTGGCAGCCATCACCAGCCTGGCGTAGCAGAGAGGCTGCATGGTGACCCCATGTCAGGGCCCCCTCTGCTCTCCCTTCCAGGAACCGCTTCTGCTCCAGTCACCAGAGCCATCACAGCTCAGGCTGCCGGCCCCACCCCAATGGGCCCTGGGCCAGCCCCTGGGATGCAGGGCCACATCCACGGCCGTGGCCCAGGCAGCGCCAGCGGGGGACTGCCCCCCCCCCCGGGGGGGTCATGCTAGAGGATCACTTTCAAACAGCCCCGTAATCATTTCAGGTGGGGAGGGAGACAGCCAGACCGGGGCAGACCCTGGGCCTGTCATCACCCCCTGCTGCCCATAGATCTGCCCCCCGGACCCGTCAGCAGGTGGGATCCCACAACCGGGGAGCCCGGAGCCACAACCACAGGCCATGGCACCCGGAGACACATTTCCAGCTAGGGGGAAGATGCAACTTTGGGATCCCCACAGGCCAGGACTCCCCCCCGGGCCTCATGGGTTAAACCCACCCACGGAAAATAGCGAGGCAGCGCCTGCCTAGACCTGCCGCAGCTCCCCTGGGACCCCAGAGCCCGCCCCTAACAATCTGCCTCAGGCTCGGCCCGGCTAGCGGAGACTCCAGCAGCGGAGAGGAGAGCGAGGGAGCCGCTCCCGGGACCGGGACGCCGAGGGGCTCCGACAGCCAGTTTGCAGGGCTGGCAGCGCCGGCTCAGGCCCGTTCCCACCAAGAGAACTGCATAGCATTGCGGTGACAGGACTGGAGCAGGGAGGCGGTGCTGGCGTGTGGGAGAGTCCGGCTCCTCCAGACTGCTGCCCGGGGGAGGTCACTCCACTGACAGCTTCGGCCCAGGCCGCCTTCCCACTTGGTGCCTGCCTCTGGGAGAACAGCTGGAGCTGATAAGAGGGGTTCTGCATCACGGACAGCAGCAGGCCCCAGCCTGCACGAGGCCCCAAGTGGGTGTGAGAGCCCTTTGTGGCACAGCCCACCGGCTACACCCAGGTGTGGAGGACCCCACCTCGACAGCAGGCCCCAGCACCAGCCTGCTGTGCACCCCAACGCACTGGCTGGTGCCGCTTCCCCATCCACCAGCAGGCACTGGAGCAAGCCACGCACAGCTGAGGCCCTGGGCTGCATGCAGGCGCTGGAGAGGGAACACCCAGCAGCAGGGTCCCTGCCCTGGCAGATGTCCCATGTGCCTGACTCCCACAACATGGGGGAGGTGAGAGGAGAGTGTGCAGCCGCCCACACCTCCCTGAGCAAAGTCATTGTGTGGCACAGACAGCTGGCGCTGCAGCTGGGGGGCACGGCTGACTCACCCCGGCTGCGGGAGGAGCTGCAGGAGCGGAGCAAGGAGGTGCACGAGCTCAGCAAGGGTAAGGAACTGAGCCCAGCCTGTTATTGCCAGGAACAGGGCTAGAGAGGGGGGGAGATGATGCTGTGCTGCCCTGCCTGGGGCTGCCCCACAGCCAATGCCCTTCAGTCCAGCCCCTGGGTGCTCACTGCACAGGGGCTGTGCGCTGGGCACCTGCTCTTCCCCAGGCTTGGGGCTACAGCGCTCACAGCCTGGGCTGGTCTAACAGCGCACAGACCACCCTGCCCGCGCGCGGCCAGCTCCCGCTTTCCTCTGCATTCGAATGGGAGCCCGCTCCCCATGTCCGCCTCCCTCCTGTCCTGCGTCTTCTGCCCAGAGCCAGGCCTGACACACGGCAGTAATGGGCAGTTCTGAGAGCGAATGCTGGCAGCCCTCGCCAGTGCCTTGTCCCCATGGCGAGTAACAGCCCGCTCGCATTGCCAGGTAAGGGAGCTACTTGAGCTCAGGTGGGGCATCGATCCAGGGCTCATCTCTCTGCGAGCCAGTGGGGGGGGGGGGGGCGCTTGCTACCCCTTCGGACAGTTAATATTTAATCTCCTCCCACTGCCCCTCGCCCCATTAGACCTGGCCGCTGGGGGCAGAGTTCTGCACCTGCAAGGGTGTGCATGGGACCCCACCCCTGGGTGAGAATACACCAGGCAGATGTCTTGGGCAAGCCTGCTGGACAAGCCCATGGCTGGCGCGCGGCTCACAGTTTGGCCCTCCGTCACCAGGCTGTTTCATCCCAGCTGGCTCATTGCTAGCGCAGCTGTTCCATTACCTTCCACTCGAGCCCGCCCAGTGCTGTGCTCTGCTAGCTTCCCTCCCCGGGCTGGTAACACTGGATGCACATCTCCCTGCAGGGCTGCGGAACGTGCTCCTAGCCGGGCTGAGGCAGCCGCTGGCCAGCCCCGAGGAGCGGCAGGAGCTGGAGAGGCTGTGGGTGCTGTCCCTGTCCGCTCTGGAGCTCTTCCACCAAGACCTGCACAGGGCCCATCATCTCCTCCAACTCTTCCCCCTGCAGGGGCGGGGGGGGCCGCTGGTGAGCACTGGCCTCACGGGGAAGGCCACAGATGGAGGGCACAAGCCGTGGAGGAGGCCAAGCCGCAAGGGCGCCAGGAGCACGGAGCAGCTGGGTGCTGCCCCTAGCCTGGAGGAGCAGATTGAGCGTGTGGGGACCATGCTGCTGGAGATGGAGACCAGAGTCAATGTCCCTGTCTGGACAGTGGAGGCCACAGAAGAGGCCGGGCCGGGCAGCAGCTTGGCCTGTGAGGCAGAGGGGTCGTGCAGCGAGAGACAGGCTGCAGAGGTGGCAGGTGGCCCAGGGTGCTGCGGGCAGCGTCAGGGCTGGCCTGCACTCTGCTGCACATTGTCATGACTAGCGCCCCCCTGCAAAGGGGCAGGACTTTGCTCCCCCCAGGAGAAAACCCAGAACAGGGACCCTTGGCCACAGCAGCCCAGAAAGGCAAGTTTCTTTGAGCACATGGCGCCCAGCTGGGAGAAGCAGGAAGAGGTGCTCTGGCTTGGGGTAGGAACAGGTTGGCTGAGGGCTCCCCTGCCAGCAGGGCACTCAGCTCAGGGAGCATGTGGGATAGCGGTGGCAAGGTGGGGGGGCACTGCAGGCCAAGGGAAGGGTGGCAAAGAGCCCCCACCCCCCCGGCACTGGAGGGAGTCGTGGCAGAGGAGACTGCTGGGGGATTAATAAATGTCGTTCTCCCACTTGTGTTCGTTCCCTGTAGAGCCTACAAAGTGCCCCTGCCCCAGGGAACCATTTCCACACCCACAGTGGTGGTGGTGATGGAGGTGCGTGGAGGTCACAGAGATCTGTGCTTGAATCCCCATCTGCTGGGGTGACTGGCCCCAGGCGGTGGCAGATCAGCAGCCGAGAGCTGCCTCAAGGCAAGGCCAGGCCCTCTTGGCTCCAAGTGCCCTGGGCTCGGTTCTTGCTGTGCATGGCAGCCCGGCCAGAAGGGGTCACCGCGGCCCAAGACACCACCCAGCCCAATGCAAGTACCATGATCTGTGCAAAACCAAAGTTAAAAAACGAGAGTTTATTTATACAGTAACCGTGGGTTCCACCTGCAGAATTAATTTAAAACCAGCGTATGATACAGAGTCCTGTACAGAGCAGTCAGAGGACAGTTCCAGAGAGCAGATAGGGACAGACAGACAAAGAGCTGCGGCTTGGACAGGCATCAGGTCTCCTGGCTCTTGGCCTGCTTTGCGTACGTTTCCTGCAGGTATTTCTTGAAGGCTGGGGAGGGAGGGGAGAGCTGTTGGAGAGGGGCAGACTTCGCAGAGGAGCACAGGGGGTTCACCCGGGGCTCTCTCCACTCAGGCTATTCCAGCTCCTGCAGCTGGCGAGAGGAAGTCACCCTGGGACAGGCTAGGAAGGAAGACACCCTCCTCTACTGGGCCAGAGCTCGGCAACGAAGCCAGGCCGAGTGAGTGCCCAAGTCCCAGGCCCCCCAATCAGGTACCGTCCCTGGGGACGGGGATTGTTACCCAAACAGGTCTGAAGGCAGCTGTCCTCCTCTCCATGCCCAGGCACTGGAGGGCAGCTGTAACCCTGCGCTGGGCCTGTAGGCAGCTCAGCCAGGAGTAACCCAGAGCCACGGTGCCTAACGGACCCCAACGGGAGACACTCACCTGCTTGGTTCTTCCAGAGTTCGGCCGCATGTGTGTTCAGGGGGCTCTCAACGTTCGGCTCTGAGGATTGGGAGACGGGAGGGTCAGTGTGAGGACAGAGTAGGCTTCCTGTTTCTTACACAGCAACACGCTCACCCCACTCCATAAGAACGGCCCTACTGGGTAGGACCGAGGGTCCATCTAGCCCAGCATGCTGTCTTCTGACAGTGGCCAATGCCAGGTGCCCCAGAGGGAATGAACAGAACAGGTAATCACCAAGTGATCCATCCCCTGTTGCCCATTCCCAGCTTCTGGCAAACAGAGGCTAGGAACACCATCCCTGCCCATCCTGGCTAATAGCCATTGATGGACCTACCATCCGTGAATTTATCTAGTTCTTTTTTGAACCCTGTTACAGTCTTGGCCTTCACAACATCCTCTGGCAAGGAGTTCCACAGGTTGTGTGAAGAAATACTTCCTTTTATTTGTTTTAAACCTGCTACCTATTAATTTCATTTGGTGACCCTTAGTTCTTGTGTTGTCTACTTTCTCTACACCAGTCATGATTTTATAGACCTCAATCAGATCTCCCTTTAGCTGTCTCTTTTCCAAGCTGAAAAATGCTAGTCTTATTAATCTCTCCTCATATGGAAACCCTTCCACACCCCTAATCATTTTTGTTGCCCTTTTCTGAACCTTTTCCAATTCCAATACATCTTTTAAAGATGGGGCAACCACATCTGCACACAGTATTTAAGATGTGGGTGTACCATGGATTTATATAGAGACAACATGATATTTTCTGTCCTATTATCTATCCCTTTCTTAATTATTCCCAGCATTCTGTTCATTTTTTGACTGCCGCTGCACATTGAGTGGATATTTTCAGAGAACTATCCACAATGACACCAAGATCTCTTTCTTGAGTGGTAACCGCTAATTTAAACCCCATCATTTTATATGTATAGTTGGGATTATGTTTTCCAATGTGCATTACTTTGCATTTATCAACATTAAACTTCATCTGCCATTTTGTTGCCCAGTCACCCAGTTTTGTGAGATCCTTTTGTAGCTCTTTGCAGTCTGCCTGGGACTTAATGATCTTTAGTAATTTTGTATCATCTGCAAATTTTGCCACCTGTTTACCCCTTTTTCCAGATCATTTATGAATATGTTGAATAGGACTGGGCCCAGTACAGACCCCTGGGGGACACCACCATTTACCTCTCTCCATTCTGAAAACTGACCATTTATTCCTACCCTTTGTTTCCTGTCTTTTAAACAGTTACCAGTCCATGAGAGGACCTTCCCTCTTATCCCATGGCAGCTTACTTTGCGTAAGACCCTTTGAGGGACCTTGTCAAAGGCTTTCTGAACACCTAAGTACACTATATTCAGTGGATCCCCTTGGTCCACATGCTTGTTGACCCCCTCAAAGAATTCTAGTAGATTGATGAGGCATGATTTCCCTTTACTAAAACCATGTTGACTTTTCCTCAACAAATTAGGTTCATCTATATGTCTGGCAATATTGTTCTTTATTATAGTTTCAACCAGTTTGCCCAGTACTGAAGTCAGGCTTACAGGCCTGTAATTGCTGGGATCACCTCAGGAATCCTTTTAAAAAATTGGTGTCATATTAGCTATCTGCCAGTCATTTGGTACAGCAGTTGATTTAAGTGATAGGTTACAGACTACAGTTAGTAGTTCTGCAATTTCACATCTGAGTTCCTTCAGAACTCTTGGGTGATACCATCTGGTCCTGGTGACTTATTACTATTTAGTTTATCAATTTGTTCCAAAACCTCCTCTAATGACACCTCAATCTGGGACAGTTCCTCAGATCTGTCACCTAAAAAGAATGGCTCAGGTTTGGGAATCTCCCTCACATCCGCAGCCATGAAGACTGATGCAAAGAATTCATTTAGTTTCTCCGCAATGGCCTCATCTCCTTGAGTGCTCCTTTGGCCCTTCCATCGTCCCCTGGCCCCACTGGTTGTTTAGCGTCTGGTCACATGCTTCCCGCCATGATGCCTTCCTCCCCTGGCTCACACCCCAGCCTGATCGCTGTCCGCTGTAGCAGTTATTCTATTTGTATCATGGTAGCACCTAGGAACCCCGGGCATGGACAAAGCCGCAATCGTACCAGGCCTTGTACAAACCTAACAAAAGCTCCGTCCCTGCCCCAGAGAGCTGCCGTGACGGTCCCAGTATCGGATGAGACAACAGATGGAGGAGCACAAGGGGATGATGAAGCAATACTGGTCAGCGTGATGGGCTGATCACGGTGCACACTCGGAGGCAAGGACATGGTTTGGGCAAGCAAGGGGAGCGGGAGGAGGCTGGGATGGGAAAGGGGAGCCCAGGAACTCAGAGCCGCAGGACACCGGGGGGCGATGCCCAGGCAGCCTCACCTCCCAGCAGGCTCTGAATGGACAGCAGGATCGTCCGGACGTCGTAGAGCGCGGACCACTTGTCCTTGAGGATGTCCAAGCAGATGTTGCCCTGCGTGTCCACGTTGGGGTGGTAGCAGGGGGTGAGGAACTTGACGGTGGGGGCGTTGTAGGGATACCCGTCGGGGAACTCCAGGGAGAGCTTATACCTCAGCTCCTCGTACACCTGGGGGAGACAGGCAGGGAGGCGTTAGCCGGGCGGACCCTGACCCCTCCGTGCCCCCCTGCCCCCCAGAGCCGCGGGCTCGCCAGTCCCCCCAGCCCAGCTCGGCCCCTCGCTCACCGTCCCAGCGGCACCGTCGATGGTCCCGATCCAGCGGAAGAGATTGTCCGACTCGGGGAAGGCGGAGATCCCTTTGTCGCCGGCCATCTGAGCGGGGACGGGACACGGGTTAGGAGCGAGCGCCCGGCCCGGCCACCCCCCGCCGCAGCCCCCAGGGCGGGCCCGGGGCCAACCCGCCCCGGCCCCAGGGAGCATCCCCCGGCCCGGCCCGGCCCCAGCGCCCGGCGGCCCGACTCACCATCAGCGCCATCAGCTCCTGCTGCAGCCTGCGGGACAGAGGGGACAGGGTCAGGGGGCGCGGCCCGCAGCTCCCCGGTCGGTCCGCCCGGCCCCTCCCACCCGCCGGTCCCTCCCGCCGGTCCGCCCGCCAGTCCCCAGCTCCCCTCCCGCCGGTCCGCCCGCCCGGCC